GAAAATTAACAAATTAATACATTGATAATTCATAGTAAGATTATTTGTGTTCTTGTGCGACTGCGTTACTTGTGTAATAACAATACGAAGCTGACAATACTACAAAGAATGGAAGTAACAGAAAGCATTTTTAACAGCTTTTTAGGGTTTGATTATAGAGTACACAGTAAATTTTTTGAATATTGAGGGATCCGAGACCTTCAAGTAATCACAAATGAAAGGTAAATTTTTGTGCACACAGACTTACAGAAGGAGCAGGTGCATTGTAGGATGGGGAAGGCGCTCTGTAGCTCGGGGCAGGGGCACTGTAGGAGGGCGCAGGAGTATTGTATGATGGGACTGTGCTCCCAAGGGCAACTGCCACAGCGAACAATACGAGAACCTATTTAAAGAACGAGAAGCAAAATATTAGTTGAATATAGTCACTCTCTAAATATTCATTTTCCTTTTCATATCTTCACATTAGCTATGGTATATCCAAAACTACTTCCACCATTGTGTACCTGAAGAGACATGGCTGTAGAACTGAGGAGAGAATGAGTGCTGATGGGAGGTAACCTGAAAGCCGTTTTATAGGTGGGATCTGACCCTCAGTCTGATGTAACCGCTCGAGGGGATCCAGAAATAACTACGGCGGGAGAAAACAGATTATTCGGTTTGCTTTCTGCGTCTTTCAATTGGTCGGGGATAATTCACAATAAACGGGTAATTTCAAGTAAACACATCCATTGTTTTAATATATATATATATATATATATATATATATATATATATATATATATATATATCCATATATATGTATATCTATAAATGTATATATATATATATATATATTATATATATATATATATATATATATGTGTGTGTGTGTGTGTGTGTGTGTGTGTGTGTGTGTGTGTGTGTGTGTGTGTATACATATATATATACATAATAGTATTAGAGCAATGAATTCGTGATGGAGGACCAAACTAACGTGTCTTCAAGCTCTAAATACTGCATACAAATGTGTGTGTGTGTGTGTGTCATATGTATTATGTATGTGTATATATACAGATAGATAAGTATTGATAAATATATATGACGCATTTGAATTTATATATATACACAAACACACACACATACACATACATACATACAAACTCACACACACACACACACACACACACACACACACACACACACACACACACATATATATATATATATATATATATATATATATATATATATATATATATATATATATATATATATATATATATATATATTATATATATATATATAATATATATATATATATATATATATATATATATATATATATATATATATATATATATATATATATATATATATATATATATTATATATATATATATATATATATATATATATATATATATATATATATATATATATATGTATATGTATATACACATGTACATAGATAGATAGATAGATAGATAGATAGATAGATAGATAGATAGATAGATAGATAGATAGATAGATAGATAGATAGATAGATAGATAGATAGATAGATAGATAGATAGATAGATAGATAGATAGATAGATATAGATAGATAGATAGATATAGATTAGGTATAATAGATAGATATATATATATATATATATATATTATATAGGTAGATTGATAGGTTGATAAATATTGATATAGGTATATAGTTAGATATAATATAATATATATATATATATATATATATATATATATATATATATATATATATAATATATATATATATATATACATAATATTTGTGTGTGTATATTCATATATATATGCATGTACATATATGTCTTCTGTCTTGTAATTGGATTAAACCCTCCCCGTCCCCTAAAGGCTTATGATAATAAAGAAAAAATGTAAAGATTATAATGTTCATTAAGTAGGAGGCAGAATTCCGGAGCATACAAGAGCAAATGCTTTAGTAATACATAATTCCTCAATCTGAAAATTATCTGCAACAAAAGTTAACGAGGCGTCTTCTTATTACCAAGAAAAGGCAGGAAAAGAGGTCATCTTTAAAGGGTGTGGTTCGTTTCTTAGTAGACAGACACAGACACATATATGTGACTGTTTTGTATGTTTTATATATATATATATATATATATATATATATATATATATATATATATATATATATATATATATATATATATATATATATATATATATATATATATATAAATATATATATATATATGTGTGGTGTGTGTGTGTGTGTGTGTGTGTGTGTGTGTGTGTGTGTGTGTGTGTGTGTGTGTGTGTGTGTGTGTGTATACACGTATATATGTATATATATACACGTATATATATGTATATGTATTCACGTATATATGTATATATATACATATATATGTGTGTGTATGTCTATGTGTGTGTATGTGTGCGTGTATGTGTGTTTGTGTGTGTGGGTGTGATTGTGTGTGTGTGCGTGCGTGTGTGGGTGTATATATTATATATATATATATATATATATATATATTATATATATATATATATATATATATATATATATATATATATATATATATATATATATTATATATTATATATATATATATATATATATATATATATATATATATATGTATGTATAAGTATGTGTGTATACATATATATGTGTATATATATGTATATGTATATATATATATATATATATATATATATATATATATATATATAATATATATATATTATATATATATATATATATATATATATATATATACACACCTACACATATATATACGTCTTTTTATATGTATGTGTGGGTACGTGTGTGTATAAATCGGCAAATTTCCGACTTTTGTTTTGCTGAAACGCCTTATTTCCAATGTGACATCTTTCCAAAAATATTTCCATATTCGACCGGACAGGGTGGGCACTAATTTGAATTCCAAATTTCGGATGGAAACTGTGCAGCTCCAGCGTTACTGGCACTGTAAGGCCAACAGTAAAATTGTCTAGATATATATAGATAGATATATACATATATATAGATAGATATTTACATGTATATATATATATATATATATATATATATAATATATATATATATATATATTATATATATATATATATATATATATATATATCCAAATACTGTTTTATAATTGATGTTTTCTTTTTTCAAATAGACAAAGTACTTACATGTATGTATATATATATAAATGTATGTGTCTATATCTATATCTATCTTTCTATACACACATACCAGTATATATTAATTATCAATCATACGCTAATATTCTTGAAACACGTTTAAATATTTATATAGACACTATTTGACGTAAACTGCTAGAATGATTATATAGTGTGGATACATCTATATCTATCAATCTATCACACACACACACACACACACACACACACACACACCATATATATATATATGTGTGTGTGTGTGTGTGTGTATACTTACATAAATAACTACATATGCATGTGTATGTATATATATGTATGCATATACACATATATATTAACACAGATACACACCAATATATACTAATTATCATACACTAGTGTTCTTGAAGCGCCTTTAAAGACTTTGATATATACTATTTCTACCAGACTGCTAGAATGATAGTATAGTGGAGGACCTAGGTGTTGCTTTGTTGTTGTATAATGGACTAAGTATCTACATATATGAATGTAGTCAGTACATGCATACCTAGAGACAGAGTGGTGCCCGCAACCTTCTATGACAGCTGATGTTTATTTTTTATAGATTATTAATGAATTTCAATAGTTTTTTTTTAGTACAGGGGCTTTTTTAATGTATTGTGTAAGTATGTATGTGTGTGTGAGTACACATATATGTACATATATCGGTGTATGTGTGTAAAGGCAAAATGTGTTATATACATGTGTCAGGGTCCTCTAAGGGCATGCATATATATATATATATATATATATGTGGTGTGTGTGTGTGTGTGTGTGTGTGTGTGTGTGTGTGTGTGTGTGTGTGTATACATATATATATTATAATATATATATATATATATATATATATATATATATATAATATATATATAATATATTATATATATATTATATATATATTATATATATTATTATATATTATATGTATATGTATGTATATATATAATATATTATATATGTATATATATATATATATATATAATATTGTATATATATATATATATATATGTACCCATATATATATATATATATATATAGTATATATTATAATATATTATATATATATATACATTTGCCTCCGTAGTGTGTTCGTATGCGTGTCAGCTCGTAGCTGTAGGCTAGCTACGCTGTGATGCTCGTGATGCTCTATGACTTATATATTATATTATATATATATATATTATATATATTTTATATATATCTATATATAATTATTAATATATTTTATACTTATAATTATGCAACTCCACGTCTCTTTATTATCATGTATTAGTATGCGACTAGCAGAGCAGAGTATCATTTGTCTTGACATCCTTATTTGATTAGGTATAAATAAATTGAACGTACTCGATTATATTGCCGTCTTCATTATTACTAACAATAACAACTATCAGAGACCATCTATGATCTTGTATCATCATGTAGCCGTATTTATATGTAGCATATGCTAGGCAGTGCTCATTCTCGGTATGGACGCGAGAGTCGGGGAGCTGGCTCAGAGACTACTGTAAGATAAGGGCGGCTGGGTGCTCAGGCTATGTAGACGCGTATGAGAGGAGAGGGCATGCGCATTAGAGTTAAATCATGGGGTATTATGAGAAATATAAACCTCCTCCATCATGCCTGTAGCATACATTGAGCCAGGTTACTGGAGGCTCAGCCACTCACTCGTTGCTAGGTGAGTCGAGACTACCGTCCCTGCGAGACACTACGGCCATTCAATATATGTAGATTACTCTCATCCGAGAATGTGAGTAACAGAATCGTAGTAGCAGATCACCTCAGCTGAGTATCCTGCCTAGCCATTACGTATTTCCTTAGTATGACATTGCTAGCAGTTCGTGGTTCGCAGAGAGTAGTCATGTACCTCTCGCGCGAGGTGTACAAGTCTTACCGTTGGTAAAATTTATGCTATAAGGATTGCTGGTCACAGGTATCGGAGGAAAGGCACTAATGTAGACTTCTTGCCCTCTGTTATAAATAAAAAAAAAAAAAAAATCGATATTACCTTTCATCATGGAATTATCTTATTTTCTCAAAATAATTTAAACTGCATAGCGACATGCTATCATGAATGGAATTCTAGCTGCATAGGCTTTCTATACGAAAATTTGACAAATTAATACATTGATATCTCATAAGTTAAGATTAATTTGTTGCTTTTTGTGCGATGCGTTATTTGTGTAATAACAAGGACCGAAGGTCGTGTACATGTAGCTAGAAGGAGGTGATAGTTTGAACAGAGAAGGCATTTTTTAACAACTTTTTGGTGGTTTAGATTATAGATTGGTTATGCACACGTAGTATTTTTTTCGTAATTATTGAGGTGTTTCGGTATACGAGATCCTTCTT